AAGTTTAAAAGTTTTAGTCGGAAAGTTTAAAAGTTTTTGATAAAAGGAAAATTTTTTTGCCAATAAACCAACATATTTTCGATTATTATTCAAAATTAAATCATTTTTTGAGTTAAAACTATTTGATGCTTCTCAAATATTGTGTATATGACATTGTTTTATAAATAAAATATGAACAAAGTAGAGAAATAAAGAAGAAATCAAAATATATTTGAATAAAATTAAGATTACAGAATACAAAACATAAAATAAAGTTAAAAGTGAAAATATGAGTGTTATTGAAATGCAGTGCATACTTAAGTAAGATATAACTACAGTAATAAGAGAAATCGAAAAACTTATAAGCAAAACGAAAGAAATGAAATAAAAAAATCGATTCTTCTGATTGAAACAATTTTTATTCTTTTGTTCTATCATTTTATTATTGAGCTTATGATAAAAATCTCTTTGGTATTCAAACTTAATTTCGCTATTAAAGTTACGGTTGTCTTGGAAACTAACTTAGGCATTCAATTTTTATACAAGGAGTATATATTTATGTCTAAAAGAAACTCATGGATTAATGAATAAAATAAATCAATATCATATTTGATTCAATATGTGCAATACACATCTTAACTGAATTTAATAAAAGTTCTTATATTCATTCAATAGCCTGAAATCGCTGCTTTTTCTTCAATTTTATTGTTGATTCTGTAGTCTTCTGTTTCATATGTAGGTCAGTCAGATATTTCATATTTTGAAATACGAAATTTTAAAAGCCCTTTTTTTCATTTCAAACTATAAAATTCATGCCAAATATTTTCATAAAATTGTAGTTGTGCACATGTTTTCATAATAAGAAAATTTTTGATTTAACGGTAAATAAAGAAAAGTTAATCATTTTTTTTATTGAGAATCCTCAATTGATTCATAGGCGTTTTTAAAAATTGATTTAAAAAAAATAATAAAAAATATTTACATTATATTAGTAATTAAATTTTTTGAGCTCCTTAGTTGAGTTCAGAAAATTATTTGAATCAGTCGTAAGAGTAAACTATTCTGTAATCTTTATGATATTGGATGTCCTCAACATTTAGGTACTTTGAAAAGAGAAGCTGAACTTATATTATAATTTGAACAATAAAGAGAGTAGGAAGAGAATTAAAAAAATTCTCTTAAATTTTCAAATCGAAAATGCTTAGGAGAACGTATTTTAATTTTTGAATTGAGCTGTTATAGTCTTGCCATTAATTATAAAAATTATACACTATTTTAATTATAAATTAATTTTTATTCTTACAATTCTCATAATATATAGCTCTTTTCAATTAAAATTTGTAATTTTGGAAGATTTTTTTATAGCTATTAAAAATTTTTGTATGATTTCAAACATTACGTTCATTTTCTATGACTTCTTGAACTAGTGCTGTTGTAAATTTAATTTTAAAAATTTTATTTTAATTTATTTAACCTTAATTACATAGTTTTCTTAAGAAAAAAAAATAAGAATTTTCGCTAAACACTTTTCATACAAAATTAAGTAATTTTCGCAAATGAAAACCAAAGTGGGAAAAATTAAAATATCTTAATGGGTGTTTTACTTTTTTTTACAGAATTTCCTGAAAGTAACCACATTTTTTTCTCTATTTTTTTTCTTGCTCAACATTATATTTCAATAATAACAATAATAATGATAATTACTGCCCAAAATTAAAAAAAAGGTAAAAAACAGAATAACAATATTTTTTTCTTCATTAAAAAAAAAAATATAACTGAAATTCATTTAAAGTACGCAAAAAAAAAGGATTACTTTTTTTTTTGACCCGCCCATTGTGAAATATTTTCAACCCAATTGTTAGGTATCAACAATCATTAAACAAAAAACATTAGTTTTTTTCTCTTTCCTTTTTTTTTGTTTTATTGTCCTTTTAAGAGATTAAATATATAGGTAAAGTATCACGAGTAAAAAAAGGACAATTAAAAACAGAAAATTAATTTTATTTTTGTTTTATTTAAAAGAGAATTAAGTTTTGTATAGCCACAAAAACACATACAAATAAATATGTAGCTTTATGTATGAGCAAAAAAGGGTGCGGTATGACGGAATTAATTTTCACCACAAACTGTTACCTTTTCTGATTTTTTATTCTTTTCTTCCACTTGATAACCTCATTACATTTAAATTTACTATAAGTATGTGTTTAGTTTACGACAGTAGCGTTGATTTTGATGGAAACAAAAATAATATTTACGAAATTTTTGTTACTGCAATAAACTATGTAACAAGCTTTAAATAGTAAGGTACAACATATTTTTTGAAAATTTAAAAACTAAATTTGAATACGAAAATTGAAATTTGAACATTTTCCCCCCAAAACTTTTGTATTTTGATGCTGAATTTTGATTGTGATGAACAGCCTAATAAAGAATTAAAACAAAATACTTGCACAAAATTTGAATGAATTGCATATTGCCTTAAAATTGTTAACATTTTTTAATTAAATTCATAAGACAATGCTATAGATTACATTGTTAAATTTCACGTGAAATCTAAATAATTTTTTCAAATTAAGAGGACTAAGGTTTTCATTTACTGAACTTAAATAAATTAAATAGTAGGATTAAAAGCATTTATTTATTAAAAGCTTAATATCTGTACAATTTCTCCTTGTATTCTTCAAAAACATTTATTTGAATTTCTAAAATCTATTTAAAAACTATAATCCAATCATCATTGAATACCAAAATTAAATTTTCTTTAAAAAAAAATTGAAAAAAAAAAATAATTTTTGTTTTCTAATAAAAATATTCTAGATATGGCAGATAAATATGAATCGAAAATTTTTTTCTCCCCAAAGATCCATGAAAAAAAAACTCAAGGATTTTTGGTCCTTGTATTAGTTTAAAAATTATTTTATTCTACGTATCTTCTAAATACGTTAAACTTATTTTACAAAAAAACAAAAATTGCAAAATCATTAGAGAATATCAAAACAAAAAAAAAATTAAATTTTCTAAGGAATTTTCATTTTGTTTTGTCTACTAACGCATTATTTATTTTGTAATTGGCTTTTATATGTTTATATGAATAACTTGACTTTAAAAAGCGCTATATAACTTCATGGAAGTTTATGTTTAAATTATTCAAAATTGCAAAAGTAATAAAATAAAATATAAGCCTTAAATATACGTGCTTGTAGATTCAACAGAATCCCTTAAACGATTAAATTTTGAAGAAGTACATAGGTATTTCGGTAGAAATGAATTTCATTTCCATATAGAAAATTCAAGTGGATAGGTGATTATCTAATGCAATTTACAAAAATATTTTGACAGTATAGAAATGTCAAAATTTTCAATTTAGTTTTAAAAAGAAAGTGTGGTAGTTGGTCTGAAGTATAATAAGGCACATTGTGTCTTCATGTTTTAACAACCGAAATACACTGTAAATTGACATGCATTTTATTTTAAATTTTATTGAAACTCAAGAGAATTGTAACCAAGGCTTACTTAAATAATATTTTAACAATGTTTACTTTATTTGACATGTCATATTATGTCAACCCTGAAGTTTCTATATGTTCTTATTATATGTACACACATGTATGTAACACTGTATATATTCAGTTACACAAGGCAATTTGGTAGAAAAATTAAAAAAAAAAGTTAAAAAATTGTATTGAAACAAACTTGAATGTCAAAATTATATAAGTTGCGTTGGTCAAATTGATTAGTTCAGACTAAAGATTTGATATGCGTCGATTTTCAAAATATGCTTGAAGTATTTTAAATAATTTTAAGCATCTATCAAATAGGAGAATTTTTCAGAAGTGAAAGTTCAAAATGTTATGGATGATAAATAACCATCTTGTAAAGTTCATGAATTGATTAAGCTTTTTTTTATTCTTTTTTTTTAATTTTTAACATTTAAAACTGCTAAGATAAAAAACATGAAAAGGACGATGATCCTTAAGATCATCATTTTTATTTGAATTGGAATCTACATTAAAGAATCATTTTAAAAAAAATGTGTATGTATGCATGTATATTTGCCTTGATATTTTTTTAACCATTTTTCAAAAGAATTCCTTTTTTTTCTTCGTACAAAAATCTTTAATTCAAAAGTAAAGTAATCATAGCATTGAAAAATAAGAAGAACTCTACAGAATAAGATGGAAGCGTACTAGATTAAAGAGTGGAGAAAAGAATTTAATAAAAATAGAAAAAAGTCTTAAGAAAAATATTTTTATATATGTATGTACGTGTATATATTTATACATTTATACTCCAAAGTCAAAAAAAATGATTGGATGGTCGTTGCCGTTATGGAGTACTGTTGCTACCGTCCGCATTCGATGCATAAGGAGAATATTGTAACCTCTTATAACAAAATTTATAACAATATAATACGGAAAGGCATTTTTCCGTGTCAAAGAAGTGTGAAAAAAGTTTTTTTTAAACAAAATATTGGCCTTTTTTGTGTTAGTCAGTAATATAGCTTTCTCCAAATCGATTTTAATGAAAATATATATTAGAGTCCACAGATCTGGTCAATTGTTTTCTCTTTCCCAAGTAATTTTTTGCTTTACAAGTTACAATCACATTTAGTGGAGTAGACATCAAAAGATTCTAAGGTATATACTATAGCTATTTTTGGCATTTCGATTTTTAGTATTGTATTGGACTTTGTTTTTTTTTTTTTGATAGTGAATGCAAGTTATAGCGGTATTAGAGAAAGAAAGTTTTAACAGTGAATGTGACACAGATGTCGTATTAAATGTACTGTCCCATTACTATTCGTTTTTATTTTTGAATTAGTTATCAACTAGGATTCAACTAGGATTAATCATTTTTTAAGTGATTTCTTTGCTCTTCTTTTTCCTTTTCCTTTGGGAAATAAAAAGGAGCAATGCAATTGAAATAAAAAAGTAAAAGTAACCGCAGTGAAAACAATTTATGGAATCACAACAATATTCAATAAAAATTATTTATATATACAAACACATACAATTAATTATACATATCCATAATATGTATATGAAAATGTTGTATGTATATACCATGATAACTGTTGTTCTGTTAGCACTTTAAATGCAACCTTTATGATATTTATGCGAACATACATGTATGTATATATATATATATATATGTGTGTAAAAATATTATATAACAAACAACTCCTTTAGGACATTTATGCTATTGTCTGAAAGCTTTTTTCTTTCAATTTAATTTCCTGAAAGGCTTTCAAAGACCTGTCATACTCAGAATATAAATCAACAAAAGCAATAAAATATATAAGAAATTCGAAAAAAAAAGTGTATTTTGTCTAGTAAGTACTTACATTATAACTAAAATATGATTGAAAGGATTGAAATGTATGAGGGAAATAATACAGAAAAACTCCATTATTTTATTTTATACCAACCTGGAAAGAGAAAAAAGAAAAAAGTTAAAAATGTAATTATTTTGTTTCTTCAGGAAAAAGAGGCGATAGTATAGTTAAACTTTAAATTTTTAATTAATACTATAGATAAGAGTTATGTGTAAAAAAAAGTATTCATATATGAAAACCATCACCTTTAATAATTTTTCTACTTCAATATCGATTTTTTTGCAACACTTTTAAGAATATTTAGAAGATATATCCTATTTCAGCATCCTCAATGTTAAAATAATGCAAAACAGTAACAATTCCATAATAATATTACGTAGTGTTGTTATAATCAATGTGTAAAGATTCACAAAGACTGACAAAGAAGAAATGAGTGGATAATAATAAATAAAACCTGGTTTAATTATAAGTTTTCATTACCATATTTTTCTGTTTTTTCGTTGCAAAATTAAACCCTCAGAAAACGCTTTCAGATTTTTGGAAATCTTGAGGTAATTCATAATGTACAAGAATGTTTACTTACACTGAAATGAGCTAAATGGTCAATAGCCCGCTACTACCTAATTGAATATTCTATTGTAACATAACACCATATTAATTTCTATGTAAATAAATCAATTTTTAAGAAATAAACTTTTTCTTATTGAAATTTCTTATAACTTGCTGGTCGTACACACATATACATATATATAATTTAATATGCAATCACGTAGATGTAAACAAATGTACTAAATGTCAACAACAGAATAAATACACACATTGATTCATATTTATTTAAATACAACAAGAAAAAACTACAATTTTCACCTTAATCTTTCTTTATTTTCTTTGTTGAAAGGAAAAAGCTATAGAACAAACGAAAAAAAATAAATCTTAACATAACGTTTGCATAAAAACAATTTTTACCTATTTTTTAGTGCAATTTGCACAAAAAAAAAACTTGTTCAATGTTTATTTCATGAATTTATTTATTTAAATTTTTTGTAAATAACGAAAATGGAGACGAACGAAAATATGGAAATATGAGAAAAAATTTTCGCATATCCTTGCAAATATGCAGGCAAATTTTTATTGCGGTTAGAAAAATTTAGGACATAAAATTTTTTTTTAAGAGGAGAAAATATTATGTATAAAAACATTTACAATTGCATTTAATATATAAATTCATACAGAATGAATAAAATAAACACTTTACTCTAAATAAATGTCTAAAATTTAGTACATTATTTATACCTTAAGATTTAAATATTGCCACACAAATTGCATGCCTAAATGTGATAATTTAACTTTTATTTAACTTATAAATATTTTGTAAATAGTGGGTGAAATGAGAATAAGTACTCACATGCACAAAATTTTTTCAACTTGTAATCTTAAATGCGAGTGATTATTTAAAAAGATTATATAATTTGAAGGCGAAATAGATTATTTGAAGGCGTTCAAAATGTTCATTTGACAACAAATTTGTTTTTTGTACTCAAATGAAAGTAGAGTTGTACGTTGCACTATATAATTCTATAAAACAAATTGGGTTAAACGACTATAGTTTACAAGTTATAGAATATGTCGAATGTTGATTTACACAAGTTCTGCAAATTCCACACACTTTTTTTGATTTTTATAAAATATCCATGCTTACTAATTACATGCAATAATTTAGATTTAAAGTAAAGGGTTCGCACGTTTGTGATTTATTTAGAAGATTGCAAATTATGTTTCAACAAAAATTTTTACAAACAAATTCTGTATAGACATATACATATGCAGAAATTATAGTAGATCACGTAATTTAAAATTACCATAATGATTTATGGGCATCCAAAATAGTTAAATTTAAAATTGCTTTTCATATACACAAATCAGCTTATATTATCATATTTTCCAAACAAAATTTGGTTAACCTAAAATGACGTGATGTTAACCCTATCCAAACTTTTTAAAATGGATTTAATTGAAATTTTCATAACAATGATAAAAAATATGAAAAGTATATTAAAAAGCATATGTTCTTCTCTTTGTGCTCTTTCCTATCTTTCATTATTATAGAACAAATAAACATTTCTCATAAAATACATACATATACTCGTATATTTTTTCATTCGCATTAATAAAACCCACTTAACCGTAATAAAACGTTGATGAAAGCGCACGTTCCCAAGTACATAAATTGCATTGAAATATATTTCAACAATTAATTTTTAGTATTCTACATGGTATAAATTTGTATGTGGATTTATATATTCTGTTCCCTCTTATTCTAACAAGTTGTTTTACTTAGAATAACAATAAAATTTTAGTAAAGTGAAATTAAAAAAAAAAACGAGTCCTGCAAAAATTCTTTGATAAGGTGACAATGTTTATGAAATTTAAATTTTGTGTAATTGTCGTCAAATTTGAGTCCAAATTTTTTTGAAGATTAAAAAAATAGTTTAATTCCTTAATTTCTTATTAAAAGTTGCTAATAAAATACATATATATCGGAAATTTTGGAATGTTCCCATCAAATTTTTCGGTGTCAAAGATTGTCGAATGAAAGACTTTGATTGTCGAAATCAAAGTTCGGTGTAATACAACATATCCCGGACTATAGTAAGTGTACCCAATTCTAATTAAGATAAATGTCAGTGACTTCGATATTTAGAATTAATCTACACATATTATACGAGTATCACAAATATTTCATTTAGCATTTGAGAGATACCTGTCCAAAGTTTTTGCGTATCGCTTGACACTTTTCCCGATGAAAGTGGTATATATTCATTTTCAGACTTGTTATTGAGAGCAATTAATTCGATTTATCATAGAGGCAAATAAAAAATGTCTAATATTTATTTTTTCCATTTAATTACGCTTTTTTTTTTTGCGAAGAATAAAATTTTATTATCAAACAAAGAGGAATGCAAATTAAACGGCGATAACACAAACGAGTTACAAACAAAAACATATAAGGTACAAGCAACGTAACATCCCACTAAAAACCAGAAACGAATTAACTAACGAATTATTATTGTTTTGAGTTCAACAACTGGAAAATGATGGCAACGGAAAAATAACATGAAAAAAAGTTGAAAATATAACGATAAGTTTGTTATCCTGCTGGGTGCCAAACAAAAATTTAATCTCATATATTCAAAGTTTTTTTGTTTTAATAAGATATACATGTAAATTTATACTGAGTTCAAAGAGACATGTATACGCTATTTAATGTTTATTAAAAATGAAAATATGCTTGCACAAGCCAAAAATATAATATCAAAATTAGTATCGAAAAAAGTACTTCACTTCACCACAAAGGATCTAAAACAATATAAAAATTACAAAGCATAAAAATTACGTCTTTATTATCTTAAAAATAATTTTAGATATGCTTTTTTATTGAGTTTGGATTGAATTCAAATATTATCAATATAAAAGTACACGTTCCCACGGTTTTCAATATATAGAGTAACTTGGATTGTTTCATATAAGTTTCATCTATACTAACGTAAGCCTATCAAATATTTATTAATTTTTATATTGCCATTGACTTTTTGTTTGTTTTATCCTTTTATCCTTAAAGTTTAAAATTTTCTCGTATGGTATTTAAAATTTTTTTAAAAACCATAATTTTTCTCTCTGTTGTTTTAAATTTCAGTTCGCAATTATTTTTAGTTTTATTTTATTCGCACTTGTTTACTAAATTTCAGTTTAGTTTACTAACTAAATCATTACTACATAGAAAAACAAATTGAACTAGTATTATATTGGTTTTTTTAGGTTCTCTCTTTTTAAAAAAATATGGTTATTGGTTTCATTCAGTTCGTTTATTCGACAGTGCGTGGTGGTGCGTCTTCTTGAAGGAGTGTTATGCTTTTACTATCTTCAAGGTAATATAATAATATACAACTGGTTCTCTGGTTTAAAAGAAAATTTTTAACCAGTCAAACCTTTGAGATATGTCAGCTCAAAATATTAATAACTTCAACACTTATTTCAAATTTTAATGACGCTTTTAGTTATCATATCTAGAAAAACATAAATTTTCCTCTTAGAAGAGATTCCTCCTACATACCTGCAAAAGCTGTCTCAAAATCGGTTCAGCTAAAATTTTTTATCAAAATCGTTTCAGCCGAACTTGAGATAGATTCGTGCATACACAGACAATGGTGGAGGTTTAGCGTAAGTTTGTCAAATTCTTCAATTTATCTTTCGATTTACTATTTTTCTTTGTGCGAATTATTTTATTATTCCATATTTTGCTGGCTTGTATAGTGTTGTTTTGATTATTGCCTTATGCAATTATTGATGCCGTCGATCTTTTCTTATTCTATTGCAATTTTCAATTTATTATTATTATAATAACCTCAAAGTAATATATATGTATACTCCTGCAAATCCTTTAGTGCACTGTATGTTATCAAAAGAAATAAAAAATAAATAAACAAAAATGTAAAGGTATAAGCAATCATAAATAGAGAAATAAAAAGATTCAATCTTAAAAGAAAAGAGACAAAAGAATCAAATATAATATGTAAAACCAGAATAATAATAAGAAAAAAATAAACAACAGTTACAAAACGTAATGGAACTGGTAAGTAGCGTTGCCTTAACAAGGGGAGATAGAGGAAACCGACTACAAAGCTTTTCAATGATACCACGCTATGCCAGCAGCGTGTAATGTAGACGATGAAAGAATAATACAATGCAAAAAGATGGAAACAATGATGGGACTTAAGTTTTTTAATATTTTCTAAAATATGTGGCTCAAGGATGTCACGTTCTATACATGGATGCTTCATAATTTTGTTTCTTCTTGTTTTATATATTTATTCTATTTTAAAATGAACGATTACTTTTGAGCAGAGCATTACTTTTGGGGTATTAAAATCTAATATTTTTTTAGATTTGAATTAACTAAAATAATTGTATTAACAACTAATTGTATTAACTAAACCAATAAGTGTTACAATACAAAACAAATGTTTAAACAATTTCAGAATTAAAAAAATTAATGATTACTGATTAGATCAAGCACAATTAGAACCATAAGCACG